GCTTCACTCTCCACTCTAGTCCTCTGTGGCTATGTCACTGACTCTGGGCCCAAGAGTCCCCAGGTCTTGCCACAATGCCGGCCAACTAGGTTTCCACCTGGGTTCACAGGAGTCTATTATTGAACATTGTAGGGCTTAGCTCACAGCTTCATTGCTGTTTTCCCCTCTCTTTCCCTTATTGGTGACCAGTGTGGTCACCAGTCAGAGCACATGTCTGTTTGTGCATCCCCATTGAGTCTTAGTCATAGAAGGTGGTTTGTCCTGAGGGGACCTGACCACTTGCCTTGATGTCTCCTGGGCGAGCAACTTGCATGTTCTTGTAGTAATCAGTTGGTCTGCCTATATTGTTTTATATTTTTCCTGCCGATCTTTCTTTCAAGAAGTATCTTCTGCTCTTCCAGCCACTCCAGGCTGGTCTGTTTGTCCTTTCAAGTGGAAATTTCCCACCTCAGAAGATTCTGGATGGGGTTCAGGATTCCTCCTATGGTCTTATGTAATGCAGAGGCTCCACAGGAAGCCTCCTTCACTGGGCACGTTGTAGCTCCATTTTAGGTATCCTAATCAGTTATAGGTAGAAGACCAACTTACAAGCTTTCTATGGTGATGTTTTTGGCTATTCCTTTCTCTACCTGCCAAGTGTTCACTTTATAATGGTATGCAAGGGAACCAAAATTCAAAAGACAGCCAAGCATCTTAACATTGTTTTCCCCCTTTTGCTTATTCTAACCATGCCTCAATCCCTGTATCTCAGAGCCCTGTTGTTTGAAGGCTGTGCATATATCATTATTTACCTCTGTCCCACTTAGCCTATGCAAACCTGCCTAATAGTTTTTCCATCCACCTTGTTTCATTCCTCTCCCCCTTCTTGTGTATTGTCCCCCTCTTTAGCACCCAAACTATCCTGTGTCTATTCCCTACCTTGTGGTCCACCTTCCTTCCTCTCCCTCCCCTCAACCTAACCCCCATATCCCGGTAACCAGCAAAGAATCCTCCCCCCTTTAGTATGGGTTCTTTTCTTAGTCTTTTACAATAGTGGTCCTATGCAGTATTTCTCCTTTTGTGATTGACTAATTTCACTCAACATAATGTCCTCAAGGTTCATTCATGTTATGCAGTGGCTTGCAGCTTCCTTGTTATTCTTCAAGGTAGCATAATATTCCATTGTGTGTATGTACCCGTTTGTTTATCCATTCTTCAGTTGATGGGCACTTAGACCGTCTCCATCTTTTTGCTATTGTAAATAGTGCTGCTATGAACATTAGTGTGCATATATCTTCTCGGATTGTGGCTCATTTTTCTTGTGGGTAAATACCAAGTAGAGGAAGTGCTGGATCATAAGGTATTTCTATTTCCAACCTTCCGAGGAAGTGCCATATTTCTTTCCAGAGAGGTTAGACTGTTTTGCAATCCAACCAGCAATGCAAGAGCATCCCAGTCTCTCCACATCCTTGCCAGCTTCTATTGTCTTCTACTTTTATATCTTTGCTGTTATTGCTGGTGTGAGATGATATCTCATTATTGTTTTGATTTGCATTTCTCTAATGGCTAGTAATCATGCGCATTTCTTCATATGTTTGTTGGCTGCCCAGATCTCCTCCTTGGTGAAATGTCTGTTCATGTCCTGTGCCCATTTTCAATTGGGTTATTTGTCTTTTTCTTGTAGAGGTGTTGTATATATTTTTGAAATGAGTCTATTGTCTGATGTGTCATTGCAAAAGATTTTTTCCCATTCTGTGTGTTCCCTTTTTACTCTTTTGGTGAAGTCTTTTGATGCACATAAATTTTTAATTTTTATTATATTCCAATCATCTATTTTGTCTATTTTTGTTTGTGTAGTTTTCAAAATGTTTGGTAGTCTGTGTATTCCGTGAATTAGAGCCCTCACATTTGTCCCAATTTTTTCATTGATGGTCTTTATTATAATTCTGGAGTTTACATTTAGGTCTTTAATCCATGCTGAGTTGGTTTTTGTATAAGGTGTGAAGTAAAGGTCTTGTTTCAATCTTTTGCATATTGCTTTCCAGTTCTGCCAGCACCATCTGTTGAAAGACTATCACCTCCCCATGCGATATATTTAGGCACTTTGTTGAAAATCAGTTGGCTGTATGTGGATGGATTAAATTGTGGGTTCTCAATTCTGTTCCATTGATTGATGTATCTTTCATAATACCAGTACCAAGCTGTTTTGAACACTGTAGCCATGTAATAAAATTTGAAATCGAGGAGTGAGAGGTTTCCAACCTTGTTCTTCTTCTTAAGCAGTGCTTTGTTTATCCTGGGTGTCTTTCCTTTCCATATAAAGTTTGTAATACTTTTTTCCATCTCTTTGAAGAATGTTGCTGGAATCTGGATTGGGATTGCATTATATATGTAAATTGCTTTGAGCAGTATTGACATTTTCACAATGTTAAGTCTTCCTATCCAGGAACTCATAGTAACCGACTCATAGTAACTGACTCATAGTAACCCTGTATAGGGTTTCCAAGGAGTGGCTGGTGAGTTTGAACTACTGACCTTGCAGTTCAAACCGACCCTGCAGTCTAGCCCACTAACCTACAATGCCACACCAGCACTCTTGCCCTTAATAGTGAACTCTTTCCAAAGAGCTGTCCGCAAGTTGCTGCCTGCCTTTTCTGGCCTTCCCACCACTCCTGTACCGCAGTATCGCTCTTTCCAGTCTGTCTTTCTGCGGATATAGTTCTGGGAGCAATCTAATGGTATTGGACTACTACTCTCTGGTGTTTCATACTGTTGGCCACTTTGACCTTGGACTTTCTGCTGTCTAGTATGCTTCCTTCCAGCCGGGTTACTCCCTATTGGTCTGTTTTATGGGAGTTTCTTTTTTTGCCCATTCCCTTTATCTTTTATCCTACAATGTCCTGTATTTACCAGGTATATTCTTCCATTTTTGTAGGTCTCTTTTTGTTTTTTGCAGTTTTCTTTTTATAGGTCCTTTATCTCTCGGGTTACATTTATTTCTTTAGGTGACCACTGTAAATGGTATGGCTTTCTTAATGTCCTTTTCAGTGCTGTCATTGTTGGTATAAAAATCCAACTGAGTTTTGTATGTTGATCTTATACCCTACCACTTTGCTGAATCTTCCAATGAGGTCTAGTAGCTTTTTTTTTTACTGAGTCTTTGGGGTTTTCTATCTATAGGGTCATATCGTCTCTAAATAGAGAGTTTTATTTCCTCTTTG